AGGATTGCAGATGCCCTTGCTAATAAAGAGATATCATGGATATTAATTGTAGACTATCTATATATGTCGTATCATCTTGGGCTATCCTTTCTCCTCTGTGTCAGCACATGCGAGGATGCAAGAAGAAATAATTCTTCGGATTAAATGACGCTCAACTACTCTATGTCATTTGTATATTATGAATAAAGCGAAAGATCGCCGTCTATGCCCTAAGCTTGGCTTATTTGAATGGCTATTCCTAATCACCAGTAACCAAATTAAACAAGTGAGTGCTACATTCATGAAAAGGCTTTAATTACTCTATGGGGCTTTCCTTATTGTTTTAGCATTGTGACTGCTTTCTGTAATAAAGTGCTACTAGTGTTAAATACATCTTACCAACATCGTCTATCCTGTCATGGCCAGTGTTTATGTTTCTATGCCTCATTTTTATTTATAGCCTCATTTTCACCCCTCTTTCTAATAAATACTATTTCGATATTTCACCCGGCTTTTCTAGTTGTAATTTAAATTCATATTTACCTATGACCATTTTTCACACATAATTAAGCAGACAAATCAACCAATATGTTTTTTGATCAACCTAGCCTTTATGGCGAGTTATGAAAAAAATTTTATTCATAAAACAACTATGCTCACAGTTCCCCCATCGTTTTTTAATTAAAATTGTATATAATATATGCGGTATTATTAGATACTACGATGACTAAACACCATGTATAAATTTTATTTTTAATTCACAAGCCTGCGAACTATCCTTTTTTTATTTCTGAATTTAATCAGACGACTATGTTCTCCATTAATATCTTAATTTACATGAAATGTACTTCTTGTTTATTTATGGACTATTAAGAAATTTTTATCATCCTATTCAGTTCAAAGATCACTTAATTCTTTCCGATAATTTATATAAGTGAACTAAGCTGATGCACTTTCGTTAATTATTTCCTCGCTAAGTTGTCAATACATTTATGTAATGATTTCGCATCCAAGTCTTACATGGAGTTAAATAATTTTTCTACTTTTTAGTATTGTTGCTATTTAAAATTAAACATCTATCTATCCACCCAATTTCTCCCTAATAAACTAAGTTTATAGTGTCGTTCTTTTCTTTCAAGGCGTTTAGCTGTCCTCGGTGCTGGTTTAATGGGGGCTGGTATTGCTCAAGTCAGCGCTCAGTGCGGAATCGATACTGTTATGAAAGATGTCAGTCAAGCTGGGCTATCGCGCGGGTTGCACCAGATTCAAAACAACCTTCTAGGTTTGGTTAAACGAAAGAGACTTAGTTCTTTCGAAAAGGACAGGGTCAGTTATAAATTCTGTAACAAGACCTTTTACTTTTTTACCTGGATGGTGTTATAATACATGAAGCTAGTGGTGACAGCCTCTATAACATTTAATATTCTCTAACTGTATGCACTAATAAGGAATATCGAATCATGTTTGGTATGGTCAAAAATATATGGATCGTTGATTTAGGCTATTCTTTATATAATAACACATTCTTTTTTTAAGGTATCTTTTGTGTGGAGACTTAGCAATGACAACTTTTATATTTTCTCAAAACACATATGTTTACTGCATAATGCAACATAAGCGAGTCTATTCAAATTGATAGGCTAGCTAATACGTTGAGTTTATGAATAAAGGAAGTTGAGTAATATATATTTTTTGTTTAAGGATAGAGAAAGAAATTGCCAATTCTCCGACAAAAATAAGGCGATTTGGATGTCCATTTTGTGATTACAATAACTACATTCACAGACAATCAGACTTATTGGATTACGCGACTTCAAGCATTCTTCTCTTTTGGCCATTAGACCTTGGTCATCCTGATTTGATTCGTTATGATTGGTAATTACGTTCTCTGTCTTACACAGACAGCTTATCTCAACCAGACATAAATTTTTGTACACATTTCTAATCGATATTTTCTTTTGTTTCGTCTAACCACTCGCGCGCACATCTATTCTAGTGTGGTAAAGTTAAAATGAACTAGCCAAATATATACATTCTCGTTTTTAGTTACTTTATTTTTAAAAAAAAGTAAAGTAGAGCTAGCTTGTATTAATGTTTTTTAAAGGATGCGTTCCAGCCCTCACGATGTCTGTCTTTTTTAGCTTACGAATGCTCAGTCTGTTTTCATCTGAAGTGATAAAGGATGTTTCGTGTACCACTTAATGATATGATAATAGGGCTTAATCTTTATTTTATTGATGAAATCGAGCTATTAATATCTGCATCATGCACATCTACAAGAAATGATATTTAAATCTTTTTAATATCAGAAGATTAATCTAAAACCAATTATAGTGACATTTTTATCAAATTATAATCAGATAATTTCTCGAATTCTACCAACCACGGACTTGGAAGATTTGAAAGATTGTGACATCGTAGTAGAAGCTATATTCGAAGATCTCGCTCTCAAACACAAGGTGGTGAAAGAGACGGAGACCATTTTATCTCCTCATGCCATCTTCGCTAGCAATACCTCGGCTCTTCCCATTAAAGAGGTTGCAAAGGCCAGTTCAAGGCCTAATAAGGTAGATCTTTTGCCTGAATTGAATTCTTTTCCATTTGATAAATTTTATTTTGCTAATTACCTCGATATTGCTATGCATATTTACTCTTTACGTATGTCACTTAAGCTCATTGCTATTTTTGTGTTTAGCAACAAACCTCCTTGTGTGCCAACCCACTAACGTTGTTGTTCAACATTGAAACACTTTATTATTCCGTTTTTCTCTATTTAAATCTAAATCATAAATTGTAATTGACTAGTATTTTCTAACTTCTCAAAACGTTAGCTTATATTGTTATACATATCTTTCAGTTTGTCGGCATGCATTATTTCTCACCCGTGGATAAGATGGAACTACTGGAAATTGTTGTGACGGATCAGACCTCTACTGATACCATTGGTTAGTTTTCTCAGTCATTTTTGATTTTATAGAAAAAATACCTTTTGAAGAATCCCTTAATAGGTTGATGTTGAAAGA